TGACCTTTTCCCTGTCACCAGCTCGCTGTATAGCACGTCCTTTGGTATGCGACCAGGTTGCATTCGCTTGACGTGTCCAAGCCAGCGGAGGCGTCTTAGGATTAACATGGCTGGGACGCTACACATGTTTGTTTGGGACATGACATCGGTGTTGGGGACTTTGTCTTGCCATTTAATGTCAAGGATGTGGCGCAGGCATCTGAGGTGGAAACCATTGAGCCTTCTTTCGTGCTTGGAGTAGGTGGTCCACGACTCGCATCCATACAGGGGTGTGCTCAGTATGCAGGCCTGGTACACCTGCAGCTTAGTTCTTGTTGTGAGTTTGGCGTTTGACCAGACTCTTTTCTTCAGTCTGGCCATAACAGTTGCGGCCTTCCCTATCCTTCCACTTATCTCATCCTCCATTGAGAGGGTGCTCGATATGTTGGATCCCAGATATGTGAATATGTCAACAGTATCCAAGTCGTAGTCGTCGATGGCGATAGTGGGGAGGGAGTCAGCGCCCTGTGCCATAATGTTAGTTTTCTTAAGGCTAATTGTCAGGCCAAACTCTTTGCAGGCAGCGGATATGCTGGATACTAGGCTCTGCAGGCCGTCTGCTGTGTGAGATACCAAAGCGGCATCGTCCGCAAGCAAGAACTCCCGCAGCAAGACCTTTCTTGTTTTAGTCTTAGCTCTAAGGCGGGCAATGTTGAATAATTTGCCGTCATCTCTAATGTGGATGTATATCCCCTCGCTGTTGTTCTGAAAGGCATACTGGAGTAGGATGGAGAAAAAAGATTGCAACTAAAGTAGGAGCCAGCACGCAACCTTGCTTTACTCCACTACTCACTGGAAAAGCTTCTGAGGCGGCACCGTTATAGCACACTGTGCCCTGCAGGATTTAGTGGAACTGCTTGATGATGTTAAGCAGTCGTGTAGGGCAGCCTATCTTTTTGAGGATCTGAAACAGGCCGCTTCTGCTGACAAGATCAAAAGCCTTAGTGAGGTCGGTAAACGCAATGTATAAAGGCATGAAAAAGCTTGAAAAAGACAAACATCATGGCCCAAGACACTCGACTTCCACCTAACATAAAAATCGATAATGAAAACTTGGAGGTTGTGGACAGCTTCACCTACTTGGGGTCCAAGGTCTCCAATACACTGTCCATTGAAGAAGAAATTAACACCAGAATCGGCAAGGCAGCTGCCACAATGGCTAAACTAAATAAACGGGTCTGGCAAAACACCAAGCTAACGGAGAAAACCAAACTGTGCGTCTATCGAGCTTGTGTCATCAGTACACTACTATACGGGAGCGAGACATGGACCACCTATACATCCCAAGAGCGCAAGCTTAATAGCTTCCATATGAGATGCCTGCGTCGCATCCTTGGTATTAAATGGCAAGAAAAAGTGACTAATAGTGAGGTCCTAATGCGTGCGAATACCCAAAGCATGTTCACAATCCTTAGTGAAAGACGCCTGAGATGGCTAGGTCATGTTAAAAGAATGAGTCCCGGCCGCATTCCGAAAGACCTCCTATATGGTGAACTTGCTTCTGGAAAGAGGAAAACAGGTCGCCCACGTCTGCGATTTAAAGATGTCTGTCAAAGGGACATGAAAGCAGCCAAAATACATACAAGTGACTGGGAGTGTAAGGCAAAAGACCGATCTACGTGGCGCACAGTTGTCAAAGAGGGCGTCATGGTAGCCGAGGAGCGAAGAATGGAAGAGGCTGCAGACAGAAGAGCTAGGAGAAGGGCCAAAACATTAAGAAGCACGGAACTCGTGTGTAAAAACTGTGGTAAAGACTGTCACTCAAGTAGAGACCGACCGAAAGTGGTTTTCTGATTTCGGCCGAAGCCGAAAATAGGCCGAAAGTTTAAAATGACTTTCGGCCGAAACCGAAAAAATGCCGAAAGTTTAAAAATGACTTTCGGCCGAAACCGAAATAATGCCGAAAGTTAAAAATGAATTTCGGCCGAAACCGAAGCCGAAACCGAAAATGAAATATTAAGATATTTTGAAATTCGTTCCCGCATACATTCTGCATTAATCGAAAAATGATGTGAGAAAGTATAAATATTTACATTCTTTTTATAAAAAATGAGATACTCGTGAATGTTAATAAATAAACATCTATTATAAGGGTCTCAAACTCGCGGCCCGCGAGCCATTTGTGACCCGCAAGACGATATTTTGCGGCCCGCTACATGACAGAAAAGTTTAGTGTAAATGCGCCGGCCCGTTTCCCCCATTCTCATATCTATAACGTGACTCTC